GTGTTGTGACATCGAATTTTTCACACCTTATCTCTATATCGTACATTGTTGACTGGAAGAAGTTTCTAAAGAGAGCTCACGTGATTTATTCTCACGTGTAATACTGTTTAAAACGAAACTGTTTAAAAGTGAATAACGAACAAATTATCCGGTAAATAACCTATATTTTTGTAATTTTAAAGTTATGTTTGAAAAAATAAAGCCTTTTCGATCTATCAAAATGAAGCTCTAAATATCTTTCAGGCTATCAACAACATAATAGAACAAACTAATCACGATCACGAAGTACTTAAGTTACCGTAACCCATTTCCCGAATACTGATAGAATAATGTCTGTTGTTTTTATGACTCCAATTACTGAGACATTTTGTATATTTTCTTTTATTTCTCATTCAACATTGGGTATTGATGTATCTCTATATATTACAATAACACATTAAAGAGTTTCTTCCAATATTTATTAAATCTTTGAAGCCTTGAGATCGAGGTCGCCACCAACAGTGCGATCGTATGTTTTAAGGAATATACAAAGTAATAACATTCTCTCAACTAAGATTTTCGGAAACATACGTCATGACAAAATGCGTCTTAGGATCATTTAAACAGCTCAGTAGTAGCATGCACGGTCTCCAATTTTGATATCGCGCTAACCACGTGTTGCCTGCGATGTGCTAGCTCACACACTACGATTTGAAGACTATTATTATCGGCATGCAGTCAGTCTCGACAGAGTTTACGATCTTAATTTATACCTATTAAAAAAGTTATTTCATTATAACTTAACTCGCATTACCTTTCTCGCTTTAGCAAATGACCATAAAGCATAAGAAAATACAATGTAGTTCTGATAGACATAGGTCAAATTAAAAACTAGTGAGAGCAAATAACATTCCTTATGTTTTCATTCACAGCGGGAAAACCGAACGCAATGTGTTTTCCGTTGTGATAGAACTTACACCCAGTCCTTGGCATTCAACTGTAAGTTCTCGTTCTAGGTTAAGTTAAGCTAGATCACACAAGACATAATAATAATCAGTGACTTCCTTTTATTTATTTTCCGTCGAACTATTTTATATACTTAAAAATTGGAAAATTTACTCTCATCTGTTATATGACTGTGACAGAGTTCATATGTGGATGACAAGTTAATTAATAAAATACACGTGGGTATTTGCATTAAGTGTTGGTCCGACCTGCACTTAAACAAGTTTTTTAATGAACTTCTTAGATTAACCTTTTCTCTCTCGTGTATCAACACGAAGAATAGATAGAAAACACCATACGAATAAGAAATATATAGGTTCTACTTTCAATTTAGATCAATTATAAGGTTTAAATAATAATAATATACTCACATCTGTTATCTACATTCTTATCGATTATATTCTAATGAATTATTTGTGATGTCCCAGTCAGGTCTGTAAACTGGCGCCTTATGTGTTTATGAAGGTAGAATGCTCTATGAACAAAGAAATATGACCGTATACTAATTATTTATTTATTGAGAACGGCCAGATTCAATAATTCAAACATAAAATGTTTAGTTATAACAATACATATGGAAACTTTATAACCTATATTAATTCTCACTATTAATGCTATACTATGTGAACACTTGTCCTATTTAAACTAATGCTGTGATATCTAAAAATAGAGCTTTTATTTATAGTGGGGATTAATTACTAAGGAGTCTTAATATTTCTGATTTGAATGCTCTGAAACTGTCGCCGGAGATATCAATATAGCGACTCAATGCATCATTATTTCTTGAACGTGGTACTGGAAATAGGCGGATAAAGTGAACCAAATGTATGCCGATCTGATGATATGGAGTATTAATGCTAAATGCCTGTAGTAAGAGTTTACATTATGTAATCATAACCAAATAAAAACGAATCATAAATTCTAATGCAGAACAGAACGACTCACAGTCGGGGCCTATTCAAATTTTACCAATCAATTCTTCCCAAGGGGCGACTATGAGTCTTTCTGTTCTGCATTAGAATTTATGATTTGTTTTATGTGTGTATCTCAGCAGAATTCTAAACTACTGGGCTTGTTTCTTTCTTTTTAGTTTTTTATTTAAGTTAATTTTTTTATGTATTTTTTAAAATTCGTTTTTACGCAGTCAGGTTCTTTGTTTTTCTTTAAATTATTTATTTTATTTTATAATTTTTAGTTACCTATCGAGTTAATTTATCGAGCTTGGTGGTAAATTTTTTTACTCGGCGACTTAACGATGTATAAAAGTTTTTTTTTTTTTACCAAAAATATTTGTTCTTCATGCTATTTCAATGTTTTTTTTTTTGTTTGTATATCGTTTATACTTTAAATAAAAATTACATCAAGAAGTAAGAAAATTAGCCAGAATGATTGTTTTATAAAACAACTTTAAATCGTTATATATCCTAAACTATTTTTTAAAAAGAAAAATGATAAAAAGAACCTAAAGATGATTTTAAAATACCTATTCAACGACACCCCACTTGATATAGTTCATCGATTTTTTTTTCTGTGGTGTCGCTGTGGTGAAATTTGTCATGTCTTTAGTGACACTCGCAAGGTTAAAATGAATCGATTGGTCTCTAGAACGCTACACCGAAACAAACATACATACATGTATGTATGTATGATACATACATACATAGACTGATAAACACATTACCCTCCTTTGCATCGCGTAGTCGGGTAAAAAGGGAATTGTATAATCAGTCTTTTCTCCGAATTTTTAATTGTATAGAGAGAAACAGCCACGTTTCATTCAACGCGCTAGGTTTTTTTAAATAGAGCTTATTAGCTACGTCTCGTGCAGCAATTTTCGCTTTTAAATTACTCGAGGCATATTCGAAATCAACTAAATATCCATAATCTGAAGCTTTCTAGACTTGTATGATGTATACGTATCTTTAAAAGCATCCTTGATAATTCATACACGTGTTGAGCTTCTAAGTTAGAATAGAATAGAATAAACTTTATTGTACACACACATAACACTTACAATTTCAATTGTAAAAGGAGACGTACAAATGGCGGCCTAATCACTTAAAGTGATCTCTTCCAGGCAACCTTGGGATGGAGTTAAATCATCAATGAGCTAATAATAATGGGGCAGTGGACGGTGTACTGTACATATATACTCTGTAGGAAGAGAAACGATACAAGTATACATACTTCACATACCATATACAAATATACATACATACATACACACATACATACATACACACACATATACGCATAAGTTATCGCAATATAAAACATTATCTCGTTTGATGTAACACCCTGAAACCAGAGTACGAGCCGCTCCGTCATAGATGTTGAAATACACATTTACAAATTATTATATTAAACTTCCCCATAATATAGTGGAATTGCTCAATTTCAATAATATAATGTTAGTATTTAGTTGCATAATAGTTCACAAATTACTGGTACTCTTATTGGTTCTCTGTCCTATTTATAAAATGAAACGTTCCGTATAATATGATTTGTTTTCCTTTAATGGAATTCAAAACTACTCTAAAATAAATATCTGTACATATAATTATTGAGCTACTTAATAAAAAATTCTTTATATATGAGGCATCTTCGTCCTAGAAGGAAGGAAATTATTTTAATAAATTCCTGAACTAACGTTAATTGAGTACTTGATAAATGTTTTAGTCTTTAGAAACGAACTCTATGTTTCATTTGAAATAATCGAAACTAATGAAACGTTTGACCAACTTTTTTTATTTTTTTATTCTAGATAGGCAAGCACTTGACCACACATCACCTGATGGTAAGCAATGCAGTGGTCTAAGATGGAGCGTGCTTGCCTAGAAGGAACCGATTCACTCTTGACTTGAAGAGTCCCAGATTGTATTTGTCCGGAAACAGCGAGTCCGATAGCGAATTCCACAGCTTCGCAGTTCGCACGATGAATGTAGAGGCGAATCGCTTGGTGCGAGTTTGTGGAATCTCCACAGTAAAGCGGTGACGCTTCCCAGTAACCCTGGTTGTACGGTAGTGGAAAGGGGACGACGGAATTAAGTCGTGCAATTCCGATGCACACTCGCCGAAATGTAACCGATAGAAAACCGATAGACCAGCGACTTTGCGGCGATGCTCAAGACTTTATACTCTCTTTTTCCAAAGAGCGTCGCTTCCAATGAACCTCTTGGCGCGCCTCTCGATGGTCTCCAACGCTTCAAGCTGGTATTTGGCAGAACCATCCCAAAGGTGCGAGCAGAACTCTATGCAGGACCGCACTTGCGCTTGATATAGTATAAGCAGCTGTTTCGGCGTGAAGTACGTTCGCACCTTCGAGAGGATACCGACTTGTTTTTATCAATGGCACATTTATCCCCAAAATATAATCAACATTGTTGTAGGACTCTATAATACATGGCATTATTAACTTAATTCAGTCGTTTTCAATAATTCACTAGTACCTGCTGAGGAGCTAATCGAATCGCACGTTTTTAATAAAAAACATGGCTCCCGTTAAGCCAAATAAATATAACAAAATCAGCATCACTTTACAAGTATTCTTTTTGGTATTGCACGCAGTAACTGGCTATGATTTTGGTTTTATTAAAAGGAAAACTGTTAGAGCTAGAGTTTTCATTAAAATTTTTACTCTTTTTCAATGTATTTGCATTTGCACACTAACTTTATACGAGTTCAGAATGCCTGATAATCAAGAACAATTCATAATTGTCGGTTTATACATATTAGTTATGTTATTTCAATATGTTTACAATAGTTTGGTGTTAATATTCAATTTTGATAGATCATTCTACATCTTATTAAAAAAGTTGATTTCTGTCGACAAAGTGCTATCCGTGAGTGGAAACACTACAGATTTCATAATTATTGGATCATGTTTTCTTTCGGTTACACTAAGAGTAGTCAACATGCTGTTGTACTGTGTTTATTTCTTGAACGAATGTACTGCTTCTGCGTTAATGAATAGTATGCTAATAATGCACCTGAGCCTATGTGACATCATCGGCATAATGACGTTCCTTCTCCTGTTCACCATCAACTATCGGCTGAAGAAGCTTAATGAAATTATACAAAAATGCGAGAGAAGAGTTCCCAATTATATACATATTTACAAGATTCTAGCTGACAGCGTTGACACAATCAAAACACCACTTATTTATTTGGTAAATAAATATACATACATATATATCAATACTGTTTTATTCAGTCAACTATTGATTTGTGTAATATTCTGTATAATGTTTCAGCATATGATGTCATTGGCTTTTAAAATACCGGAATTGATCGGTGCTACTTATTGCCTTTTGGTGAATATTAAAAATGGAGAAGTAAGTATGGGCTAAAAAGTTACGAGAAATATAACTTAAAAAGTACTACGTCATAACAAACAACTGATTAAAATAGCGATTTTCAAATGGTAGGGCCGTTTTTCGATTGAACGACACTATTCAACTACAAATCTAGATTTATAGTTGAATAATCATGATATTTTTAATCCCGATGCAAAAAGAGGGATGTATTAAGTTTGACGGCTAAGTGTGTATGTCTGAATCTATTGGTGGAGCACTAGCGCTTAAACGGGTGAACTGATATGGATGTAATTTTTTTTTACAATTGAATACTTAACAGTTATCAAATATCAAATGGGTAGTAAAGGGAAATCGGAAAACTATCTTCACCAGCCCTATTGACAACCCCACCTGCACGCGCCGGACGGCGACGGCAACCAACTTGTTTAATGTGGCGCTCCCTGATAGAGAGCCAACGGGGCAATGGCGATCGTGCAATGGCGGTATAACCATATACACCTGTCAGGTGTCCGTACAAAAGAGGCGCCAGAAATATTGAGACCGAAATATCCCCAAAAAACTCTGATGCAGAAAGAAACGGGAAACCACTGCACTAATTTTCCCATGAGACTCATGAAGAGATTATATAAGTATGAACATATGCCTAGCGATCTAAGTGACGATATTATTTGCTCTTTGAAATTATGCTACAATATATCGGCGATGGGAATTTTTAAAGATTAAACAAGGAGACTGCATGCATAGTCATAATATGTACAGACTTAACAATTTAATTATTCGCTTTGATACGTTATCACATTGACATTTAATCAGTTGACTAAGCGTCGTATAACTGTACCACGAAGCATTGAGTTAAGCCATTCGGACAATCGAAGTTAGCCGTGTGATTGAACCGTGACATTCAACAGATGGGCTAGTCGTGCAACGGTATTTTTTTACAAGAATAACCTTATGAATCGACATCAATTTGATTTTACAAGGAGTCGCTCAAAAACCGAAGCCAATGTCGAGTTAATACAAGAAATTTTTGATAACTAGACGATTCATATATTATTTAATATCATAGAGTTAGGTGTTTTCTGTGACCTATCTACATTTGATTGTATTTTTCGTGAAACATTGATTACGAAACTTTATTGTTATGGATTTAGTCTATAGATAATATTTGACTGACAGATTGCAGTGGGTCGATATCAATGGCAAAAGATCTCTTGGATTGAAAGATAAGATACAGTCATCTTACACATACCGCGGCGCTCAATACTTTGTCCTTTCTTGTTTTAAATCTACATAAATGACTAACTTTATTTCGAAAGGTATAATCACGAAATATATTTGTTATCGGATGACACTTCACTCTTATTTAAAATTAAAAGAGGGCTCCCGTTAAAGACGATGTGAACAATTCTATAGCTAAAGAAGTACATTGGTTCAATTTAAATAATCTTCTCCTTAATGATGGAAAAACGAAATGCCTAAAATTTGTATTGCCTAATGTTAAATGTTACATTTATATCTACTTAGATATTGATAGCTACGTGGATACTAAGTATTTTTAGGGATAACTTATATCTAAACTTCAGTGGGCCCACATGATGATATATTGTCGAACAGACTTAGCTCTGCAGCATATACCGTAATGAAGATACGTAGATCTTATATAGATACTACCAGATTATTATACTTCAGTTACTTTTATAGTGAAATGTCGTACCGAATCTTGCTGTGAAGAAATGCTGCCGACATACAAACGATTTTTGTGCGTCAGAAGAGAGCTAATAGATCAATTTATAATCTTAGGATTAGCGACTTGTTGAGGAACAACTTTCAAGAAACAGACATAATGACTATTGCTTCTCAATACATATACGAGAATTTAATATACGTTTATATAAATATTAGTTCATTTTCTATAAAAAGTGATGTTCACAATTTTAATACTAAAAATAAATTAATTATGCAAAATACAACAATTAAATATTATGCAATATAAATCTACTATTTAAAAAATACTTATTAAAAAAGCTTATTATATCTGGTTATAACAGATACGAATGATTGGACTTGAGATGGTCCAGCAAATGAATAGGTGATTTCTTCTAAACTCATTATAACTCAAAATTATCTTGTTTCCATTATTAAATTATTACATATGTTATCATTATATGATCATAGCTTTAATCTCTTTTTATAATGTAAGGATCTGGTAATGACATTGTTTTGTGAATGTCGTTATTTTCATTATAGCTGGTGAGTTTCTTGCTCGTTCTTCTTATCAGCCAAAAGACGTACTGAACGAGCGGTAGGAGAAAAAATGTTGGACGATTCAAAAGTACTTTTCAGAAGTATATTTTAATAAGGTTTATTTAGACTTTGACTTTGTTGGACATGGACATGGGCTAGCCGTGCAATTGGACGCTACATCAATATTGTTAAATTCTTTTAATTTACACACATAAAATACCTGTTAATTATTTCCAGAACATGTTCGTCGACGATCAATTAGTGAGGAGTCTCTACTTTATTCAAGTAGTCGTGCTGCTGTTCTTACCTGCCATCTACGCTGGCCTCTTGGCAGCAAAGGCTGACAAATTGAAAATAAGTTTATATGAAAAACTAATAACAGAAAGAGGTAACTGTATTTATTTATCATTTGTTAGAATAAAGAAATACGTCGAAATGAAAGTTCTATATTTTTATGACTAAGAAGAGCACGGACCGCCGGCATTTCTTGATGCGTCGTTTTGAAACTTACCATATCATCAAAACTTTATTTTAATGATTAGACAATGTAAATAGACTATGTGCCTAAATAAAAATAAGTTCTCGCAGTAAATTTGCTATTTAAAGTGTAAAATATGACGCCAAAAGAGAAGAGTAAAAACTTAAATTAATCAACCTTACAGATGAGGAACACGCTCGTTTTTTAGACTGCTTTATCAGCTACGTATCGGCCCGACCGCTCAAGATAAAAATGATGAAAGTGGTACCACTGGACTGGACTCTACCCATCCTTGTATTGGACCTAATTATCTCCTATCAGATAGTTATCGTGCAGTTCACACATATCTTCTAAAATGTCGACGAATGAAGCAACATTTATGTTAACATGTGAAGGCAAAATTATGTAAATGTTTGCATTTTTATTATAAATAAAATAAAAGTTCAGTGCTTACTTTTAAAAAATATCTTTATTCTAAGTCGCCTAGTTATATCATACAATTGTACGTATCTACGTAACTTACGTTCTTACATATACATTAAGACAAAGCCATACATACATACCAATACACAAATACGAGTTCGAATATAAATATATAGACATACATACAAGATATACATAGACATGTCAGATTAGGGAATGCAGGAAATGCAAGTATTCCCAGGCTGTTGAATACAAACCAACCTTTGATTAGTAGCATTTAGAAGAAAGATTTGGAAATAAACGTGCCATCTGAAATTAAATTTATTTCAATAGCAATCAGTGACTGTTACTCATGTCGATAAATATTAATGTTCTCAATTGGTGTTATTTTATTAAAAAAAACTGGCAACAATAATAATAAATCATCGAAAATCCTTTCAATCGAAGTTAGTGTCAATGATCGGTCCATTATAAAAGTTTGCAAAGACTGCCGACTAATTACTCCAGCCAGCAGCCCGTCTAATCACGTCTACACTAACAACAGCCTGGCATGCTGAAGATCATCATCTTGCGGTCAAATTGTTGTGGTAGCAGATATATAAGTATTCAAAGTCGTCGCTGGACAAACACTAGGTCTTTGTGTAAAGAAAGGTAAGTTAAGAACAGGCTGAGCCCGGCCTACCCCTAAAGTTTTAATCAAATTGGATATAATTATAACTATTTTGTCGTTATACTGTTTAATATTCGAGATTCTAATCAGAGATAAGGTCTGTGTTCTTTGTCCAGATGCTAGCGCTAACCACATAATTACTTTTTTAACTAAGCTCTTTATTAGTTATTGAATTATTATCTAAATTGGTCAAATAATCCAAAAAAAAAACCGGAATCCCATGTAACAGTATATCGAGGAAAAACGGGTTTATTTTGAAAACCCCTTTGGAAATCTTTTGATTATATCATGCTGACCTATGCTATTAGTTGAAACAATTGATATAGCTGACCTGTGATTATTAAGAGTTCCATACGAGGAACCTAATTGAAAACGTTGCGTAAAAAATTCCAATAAATTACTAACCTCTACATTATAAAAATCATCATTTTGCTGGCTGCAAAATAACCACCATAGCTTAAGACTAGAAGAATATTGAAAATTGGTTTTCTGTGATATCGAAGAAAAGACGATTTCTAGAGCTGTTGTCGGAACTCCCTTTTTAATAAAGGCTTCTCGGATAACACACTGACTGCCAGGGAAAGCTGCCGATGAAATGGATGCAATGTAAAAGCGTCATTGTTATGTGCGTATGGGTCTCTTTTCCAGGAAATGTATTTTGGACATTTGGCATTTATTCTAAAGGCAAAAAGGTCTATGTCAGGAATACCAAGTTGTCTTTTTATTTCTGCAAATACATGTCATCCTATTTTCCATCCGTGAAGAAAGGAGTATATTTGTAGAAACAAATACGGATATACTCCTTTCTTCACACCATTTACATATCATATTTGAAACATAAATTAAGTGCGTGTATTATACCCCGCCCATGCGATTAAAAGGATATTACAGTTAGATTTTTTGTCTGCAAATAACTTTAATCCAAAATAGATAGCTTATAGTAATTCCAAATAGTTTATGTGATGAATGCGTTCCGTAATAGTCCATTGACCACTAGTCGATTCACCCCAACCCGTATTTGATGCATCTGTATAGATTTCAATTTCATATTTATGTTGTTTTATTGAATTGACTACCGTCATTATATTTTCTTCCCACCAACACAGATATTCACGTAAATTATTTGGAATTATCATAAGTGCATTATGATTATTATTTACTAGAGTAGTTAATAAGAGTACTTAGCTCTTTCAAGGGTTTTAGTATACAACCAACCATAATTGACAGCTGGGCAAACAGCCGCAAGACAATCTAAAAATCTAGCGATGTCTCTAATGCATATCCTGTGTTGTATTTTTGATAGTAAATTACGTGTTGAGATTTAATTCCTCCCTGAATTGTAAAATATCGACCAATTAATAACATCGATATGGATGTGTTTGGTAAACGATTGAATAGTATGAAGGGAATGTGGGATCACATTAAGTATCTCCATAGTGTTAATGAAATGGTTAGTATGTTTAGTGCACAGAACACAGAAAGACGTTAGAAGGACCTTGTGGGCGTGGCAGTGTAGCCACAATCCTGGACAAATGTACAGGATCCTGACTTCACCATGCGATCGCGATGCTTAGTCATTCACGAACGCGCGCACTGTAAGTACTGTGAAACACCGACACCGACAACGTAAAAATGCCGACTTGCGCAGTTATTAATTGCAAAACAAGAAGCCCATCCTCAAGTAAGTCCAAAGGAAAGATTTCTTCTCATTAGTAAGTAGAACACTTCTCAAATTAAGTATTTTAGTCAAAATTCGTGAAATGTTATCAAAAATGTGAATCCCAAAACAATATTTCCAAAAAAATATACATTGCTGGAGAAGTACGCATATTTATTACATTGCGTCGTACTAAGCACGTAATGTAAAGATCATCGCGAAATCATAGTTTTAAATAGTAACATAATAGATTACGGTAGATGGCTAGTGAAGTTCCTGGAAACATTTAATCGATTCTTGGTGTGTTAGTTAGTAAAAACTAAATAAAATTAAGAACGACAAAAATATTGGTATTAAAAGATAAATATAATCAGAGTAATGAAGAATAACCCTATTCTTCACTACCATATTGACTTCGTTTGGTATGCGTTTGTATATTGATTTAATAATGTGTGTAGTGTAGCGAATGAACCTGTTTTTATATTCTTAATATTGTAACAGAAAATTATATCGAAAGCGAGTAACGTAACGTAAAAAAAATATCTACTATTATTATTTATAAACAAACATACTTATATCCAAATAAATATTTAAGCACGACTAATACCGATTCAATGTTAGTTAATTATTAGAAAGTGATTTAAATATTTCTTACTGAATCAAACAACTAATTAACAATTAATATCTAAAGAAAAAAAAAAATAATGTCACATTTAATCAATACAGTTCAATGTCCTCGTATATCCAGAAATCATTATTCCAGTATCCTTTCATTTAATTTTCTTGTTGTTTTTCAATATCGATAGTAAATAATTTTATGTCAATCACTAGTGAAATATGTCAAATTAAAATGGCTTTCACACGTTTATTATGCACCATAGATGTTTATTATGGTTGAGCGTGATTGGTTATAGTTAATTTGAAGCGTTCTGATTGGCATTTTTAAAATGCAAGTGTGTGCATATCTTTTGTTTTATTGGTCTAATATTTCGTCTGATGTATGGCGGACAAAAAGTGGGGCAAGATTGGCGATATCGATTTTCGTACAAAGGATGCATAATCGCCTTTCTAACCTCTTTTCCGTGTTCTGTGGTTTAGTGTGAATATGATTACTATTTTTGATTACTTTGCGCCAGAGAAATCTATTGTAGTCAGAGAACGCTGCCCTCCTTGGATAACGGACACGGTCAAACTGATGATGAAGCTCCAGGATAAGGCCTTAGTCAACTATCATAAAAAAAAGACCAAACTGTTCAATTGATTACTATAAATCTCTAAATCAATCAAGCATTATTCAACGAAAAAACAACCTATTTTTTAAATATAACATGAATAGTAAAATAAATGACCCAAAACTAGTATAGAAAAATCTCAAAAACACTATTTTACCCCAGAAAAATTGCAATTTACCAGCATGTTTCAATAATCCGACAATATAAATAATCATTTTATGAAAGTTTCGAGTCCATCAGAAGTGACTAATTCATCAATGACTTTTTATGAGTATAATCGATTTACAGACTTTTAATCACATTTATCAATCAATCACAGAATTATATCACATTTCCATTTAATTATATTTTAATAAATAAAACATGCGTTTAGTTGATATGATATGAAAAAGTTTATATTTGGATGTTTGGTAATAATTGGGTGCGTAAAATTACATAAGCCGCTGGACTAATCACCCAAGTGCTAAGAAATTTTTATTAATCTAATAATTTTTATTTTGGAATGCAGTTTTTTTTTATTAGAATGAAAGATTATAAGTAAAATTCTCGATTATAAGGTAACAATAAGAAATGGTACTATAGGAACCGGGTCCTTCAGTCTTATCAATTTACAAACAAGATTCTCATTTGAATACTGTTGGAGACGAAAGAATGTCTTAATTCATGACCCTATGAAAAGAAATGTGTATGAAAATGGTACATGGAGGGTTAGATCCTTCCATTTGATCATGGTACAAACGAGATTTCTCCGTGAGATAAGTTGAAGTCCAAAAGAGGCTTAAACCATGACCCCCATAAATAGGTCGTAGCCACAACCCAAATGGCATGATATTGTCCATTTAATATTATAATAATAATAATAATAATAATCTTTATTTCCAGTAACAACAGTTTCCTAAATATACAAGTAGTATAAACTTAATAATATTGACATTATTGAAATCATAGGATAATTAAAATAAGTTTTACTCGTATAAGGCATCTGCTGCCAAACTAAGGTGGTTATCACCCTGTCATCTGGCAAGACAGCGCAACTACCCCAATTAGACTTAATGAAGATAATATTATTATTTATAAAGTTACAATTTTTATTAATGTTTTGTTTATTCTACTAAAAACTATTTATATTAACTATATATATATATAAAAAAATATTTATTTATAACTATTTGTGTGTGTGTGTGTGTGTGTGTGTGAATGTGTATGTGTGCGTTGAAATGTTGTTTGTATAACTAAATAAAGATTGTATGATTGAGTGTATTAGTATGAGATTTTGTTTGGTGTATTCTATTATGAAACTGTAGCACTTATAGAATATGTAAAGTCGACTATAAATAAATAATATATGTACCAATATGTATGAATAAAATGA